TGATTTATTTTATGTTGTAAGCCGCCCCGAGTAGACATGGTCTAGAGGGGTGGGGTATACATTTAATAAATAAATAAATAAATAAATAAATAAATAAATAAATAAATAAATAAATAAATAAAGTGGAAGGCAGCAGGAAAAGAGGCACTGAGATGGACTGAAGCCTTGACAAGAGCTGAGTTGAGGACAGGATATTTTAGAGGTCACTCATTCATAGGGGTCACTGTACGTTGAAGGTGACTTGATGGCACAGAACAAGAAAAGAGTGGAAACTATTGCAGCGTAGGTGATGGAAAGGCCTTGGGAACATTAATTACAGATGACTTCATGTCATGTATCATTAATCTTTAAGGCCGAAGTATCATTATTGCAGTGCTTTTAGAATAGCAAACACATTAGAGGAATATAGAAGGACAATATAAAGAAAAACAACTGTATTATAGGGAGGAGTCATGGGCCAGGGTGTGGACTCACCTCCCTCTATTACTATCTCCACGCAAGAATTGGAGGTTGTTCATGAATTTGTGTACCTTGGCTCAACAATCTCTGACACTCTCTCCCTAGATGTTGAGCTGGATAAACGCACTGGGAAAGTAGCTACCATGTTCTCTAGACTCACAAAGAGAGTATGGCTTAATAAGAAGCTGATGGCATACACCAAGATCCAGGTCTATAGAGCCTGTGTCCTGAGTACACTCCTGTACTGCAGTGAGTCCTGGACCCTCCGTGCATGGCAGGCGAGGAAGCTGAGCACGTTCCATATGCATTGTCTCTGATGCATTTTTTATATCATCTGGCAGGACAAAGTTCCAAATAGAGTAGTCCTAGAACAAGCTGGAATTTTTAGCATGTATACATTACTGAAACAGTGCTGTCTACGTTGGCTCGGGCATGTCGTGAGAATGGCTGATGGTCAGATTCCAAAAGATGTCCTGTATGGAGAATTAGTGCAGGGAAACCGCCCCAGAGGGAGACCACAGCTGTGATACAAGGACATCTGCAAGCGGGATCTGAAGGCCTTAGGAATGGAGGCAGGCAGTGCATCATGGTCTCTCCCAATTTGAAGAGATACTTGTCCAGCAGGCCAAGGCAAAGAGGCAGTCCCGAAAGAAGCAAAATCAGGGAGCTGGGCAGGGGACAGATTGTATTTGTCTTCAGTGTGGAAGGGATTGTCACTCTCGAATTCGCCTTCTCAGCCACACTAGACGCTGTTCCAAGACCTCCATACAGAGCACGTTACCATAGTCTCTCAAGACTGAAGGATGCTTACATAATCTTATCATATTCTTTGAAGGAAATCAACCCTGGGTGCTCACTGGAAGGACAGATCCTGAAGCTCCAATACTTTAGCCATCTCATGAGAAGACCCCCTGGAAAAGACCCTGATGTTGGGAAAGTGTGAGGGCAAGACGAGAAGGGGACGACAGAGGACAAGATGGTTGGACAGTGTCACCGAAGCTACCAACATGAATTTGACCCAACTCTCTGGGAGGCAGTGGAAGACAGGCAAGCCTGGCGTGCTCTGGTCCATGGGGTCATGAAGAGTCGGACACGACTTAACGACTAAACAACAAAATCTTATCACCAAGCACCACCACAGCTCCCCCAGGGAACTTGGTGCTATGCATGGATCTTGACTTAGCCTGGTCCATTTTCTTGTCTCTGCAGCTCTGGAAGGTAGTCTAGCCTGAGGAATTTTTACTTGGTGAATTTGAAGCCAGATCACCCCAGTCTTAGTCCCGCATGCTAACCCGACAGAAGACAAGCTGTGGAGGCTCAGCTTTCATCAAGTGCCACCTATTAACTCAATGTTTGCCACTCTTTCATATGGAGAAGACTAAAAGGCTGCACAAAGAGCAGACTTGTACTGGGAACACCACCACACCCAACCAGCATGGCCAGGGGTACAGTGGCCAACAAGGGCTGAAAAAAGAACATACAGAATCTCTGCAATGTACAGTCTGTTGCCTCATGCAGTAATAGCTGCCACATTTCTCCAGGGAGCACCTTGCCCTGGCTGAGCCTTAGGTTCTGCCAAGTGGGTTCTCTTTTGTGTCCACAATTCACAGGCTGCAGTTCAATATATGGAGACTGTGGTGTCCCAGTTGCAAAGCTGCCTCCCCTTTAAGTCCTACAAGTGCTGCCATTGGCCTACTTTCAATACCAGTTAAAACAGGATTGTTTGCTCAAGCTTTTGCAGATTCAGAGAACCTAGCCACTTGCCTTTGGGTTTCTGAGATTATTGTTGCTATATTGAATTGTTTGGAACTGTTTGCACAGTTTTTAGATTGTTTTGCATCTGTTTAGAATAGATAAATTGTATATCCAATTTCTCATGAGAGTATAAAACGCCCCTTTCAAAAAGAATTGTCCCGATCCAGCAAAGCAGAATCAGGGTGATAGCCTTTTTCCCGAATATACAGGTATCAGACACAGATGTATTGCCAAGGAACCTTGACCATACATCCTTAGGACCACAACTCCCAGAATTCCCGAGCTAACTGGGCCTAGTAGTCAGGCTGGCTTTTTAGAATTGTGTTTTAAAAAGGTGCACATTCACTATCTCAAGTACATATGCTTCTGGTGGAGATAAACATCATGCTTTCTTGTAATATAGCTGGAGTAGTATTTGCCATCCTCACTCTGGTATGACATTTGTGTGGTACGGATGTGTGAAACTGTAATTACTAATACTGCGGTTCTGAAAGTTTTAACTAGAAATATACAGTATGTATAGAATTTAGTATCCATATCCCACTGTTGAAAAAAATATTTTTGCATGTTACCAAAAATCTAGGCAGTCAGGAATCAAGGACAGTTGATTAATAATGCAACCACTGAGAGGACTTGTCTGTATCCTGATTTACAGTACTGTATTACGGTAAGCTAGCTTACACATAACTGAATATTTGAATAAACAGTATCAATTTGAAAATATGAAACTTATTTTATTGAATGCTACATCTGTTTACACTGACATACCACATCATGAGGAAATTTAAGTTTTATGTGCCTGTCTCAACACCAGGGATTCTAATAATCTGCCCATAAAAATATTTACCATTTTTTCAACACTAGTCTTCATTTGTAATTATTTTACCTTCATCTAAGAGTCACACAGCATAACAGTGGGCATATGCATTCCAGAAGTGACAGACGTCTCATACGGTGATGGTATCTTGATGATATATTTACTGTTTGGATAAAGGGCAAGGAAAGCCTCATAATAATCATGTGTCATCAAGTCAATTTTGACTTATGGTTTTTCAGGTAGAGAATACTCAGAAGTGGTTTACCTTTCCGTTCTTCTGGAACTGTGCAGCTCTCTCAAGACCACACCGGCAGGTGCTACTCACAGGAGGCACAGTGGAGAGAAAAGGGCACATGAGCAGAATGCTCAGAAGGAATCTTCAAAATTTCTTCCAACCAAGAGTGATTTTCCAGCATAGATCTTCAGAGCCACATGAAATATATGTTTGCTCAGTCAGCAACACTGGACTTCCTCTTTGTGCAGTTCTTTACACATTGTTTGTCTTTGAAGATCTACACTATGTATTCATGTTATTTAATAATTGCAGAATGATTCTGGATAAACCAACAGATGCATGTTATGTCACAACAAAATAGTTAAACTTCCTTAAAAATGTAATAATATGCTTCCATGTTGACCAAAATTATGTTGTTTAGTATAGCAAATTGCACTACATTAAGCACATTGACTCAATAGGGATTTAGTGTGCCAACCCCTCTGTAATTTCCATTAAGTCAAATGAGCCTACTCTAACTGTGACTTACTGTGCTAGATGGAGCCTGTTCCCATTCCATGTAATCAAAAGATGGTGAAAATGTGTGTTGCATTTTCTTTGAGACTGGTACGTTGACAGTGCCCTTAACTGCACCTGAAGGTAGCAAGTTAGGTTGCATAGAGCAGTGGTTCTTAACCTCTGTTACTAAAGGTAGCAAGTTAGGTTACATAGAGGATGAGCAGGCTTATTTGGTTCGCAGCTGTCTCTTCTAACACTCTGTTATTGCCTTTCTAGATCTGCCACCTGAAGAGGCCACTTCTCTTTGCCTGGTTTTAAAGGTAACCTTGTTAAAGCCCAGCATCCTTCAGTCTTGGGAATGCTGTATTTTATTTTGTAACAGTTTTTTTTTTCTGTTCAATGGGACAAACACTTCAGGTTCTCTCTTGAGAGAAAAGGCAGAGCAAATGGATCTGGCAACCTGAATTTAATGTCTTGGCCCTGTGTCATTAAGAACTCTGGCACAGCAAAGTGGCCGAACAGAAACTACACATGCATTTTTCCTGAATAGGAACTAGACACCTTCTCTCAGCCACAAACCTGCTTGCTGCTGTCTGACAAACTGCAATGCCTTTGTTTCAGCTTTATGTTGCAACATGGGAATAAAAATACTGGCCTGCCTTGCAGGACTGTTGTATGGATTTGGATCTGGATATAATTTAGAATCAGTATTCTGAAAATTCCCTTCTCTCAGCCACAAACTTGCTTGCTGCTGTCTGACAAACTGCAATGCCTTTGTTTCAGCTTTAGGTTGCAACATGGAAATAAAAATACTGGCCTGCCTTGCAGGACTGTTGTATGGATTTGGATCTGGATATAATTTAGAATCAGTATTCAAAATACACTGCAAAAATGTGAAGTGTTATTTGTCCTTCAACATGAGAGTAGTGCCCCAAATATACAAGAATAATGATGCAGAGAAGGAAGGAGGGTTGTGTGTGTGTGTTCCTTACTACAGCAGAGACTGAATTTGCAAATCAGATGAGAATAGATTATGCGTATTAGGTGTCTGCATCCTAATAGAGTTTGGTTGGATTTGGCACATTACCCACTAAAGCACAGCAAATTTCCATCTACATTGATGTATGGATGGAGAAGTATTATCCCCCTTTTTTGTGCACAGTACCCATGCTGCATGCACCAGCAACAGGACTGGGTATATCAAAGATGTTGCTGACCTATTTTCTAGCAGCCTACACCCTGGTTGATGATAAATCAAGGTTTTTTAGCTCTCCAGCTCCACTCTAAAAGTTACACAGAAGCAGCAATGTACAAAGCAACCCTCCTCCAACTTCTGTAAATCTGGAAAAGTTCCATAATAGGATGGTATGCATAAGAAATTTCCTCATCTTGAGCAGGTTATCATTTAAACTAAATGTGCTGAGAGAAGAGGCACCATTTGAACTGTGAAAAGATCCTAATTAAACAGAGCACCAGAGCACAGAGTGCTGTCCTCTGAAGGTGCCGGCCACAGGGACTGGTGAAATGTTAGGAAGAACAAGCTTCAGAACACGGCCAAAGAGCCCGAAAAACCCACAACAACCATTAGATCCCGGCTGTGAAAACCTTCGAGAATACAAAAAGATCCTTTGTTTGGTACCTTGCTTTATTTTTTGTTGGGAACAGCACACAGTTTGTATTTTAATATGCTTGTGTGTATTGTTTGGATCTTCAAAATGTTATCACAGTAAAACTGCAGAAGTTCTCAATATCTCTTTGACTTGTTATTGTTATGTGCCATGAAGTCACTTCCGAATTATGGCAACTCCATGAATGAGAGCTCTTCAAAATGTCTCTTCTTTGATTTAGTGATGAGGAATTGCAGGTGTCCAAAAACCTGCAGTTATGGGGCGGCAGCCCTATTATAACAAGAACATAGGAACAGCCCTGTTAGATCAGAAGGTCTGTCTAGCTCGGCTTCCATTCACACATAATGGGCAAAGAGGCACCTTGGGAATCTTACCATCAGAACATGAGTACAGTTGCACCCTCCTTATCATGTTCTCCAGCAATGGGCATATGGCAGCATATTGTGTTTGCCCCTAGAGGTGATATATAGCCATACTGACTGGCAGCTTGTGATGGTGCCCTACCCTCTGGAAGTCTTATGTTATTCCCCTTTAAAGCATCCGAAGTGGCAGCATCCCCACACAGCGTAACAGTGACTATCCTGACGGTGGCTGGTTGAGAGTTGCAGTACTAAAACACATAGAGTGCCATTGTTTGCCCAACCCCTGCTGTATTTGGCTCTTTTAAAATGTTTCAAATTTGTCTAAGTTTTTTTGTTACTGTCCTGGCCTCATTAGTTCCAGAAGTACCTCACAAAAAGAGGCTTCATAATAACATTTCCTAACAAGATTCTAATCAAAAGTGCAAGAGGCATGGAGAAATCATAACTATGGGGTGGGTAGTGCTGATTGTCAACTTGTTTTAAAGAACATTTTCAGCAACCAGTGTCTTTACTTATTAACTGTGTTTTCATGTCACTTTTATTCTGAGGAACTCAGAATAACATATCTGGCACATCACGTCACACTCCCCATTTGCTGTCATGATAACTTGTGAGCTAGATCAGGCCAAGATGCATGAATGGCCTTCAGTCATTAAACAGTGAAGTAGATAGAGAAATATATAAGAGATGCTGTTTCTTACATATTTGTAAGTTTCTGTATATAAAAGATGCTGTTTCTTACATATTTGTAAGTTTTATGTTGGGAAAATAAAATTAAATTTTTTTAAAAATGGTGAAGTATGGATTTGTCCCTACATCTCCCGAGTGTAATTTTCTTTTAAAATGGTGAAATATGGATTTGTCCCTACATCTCCCGAGTGTAATACCCCATCTAATCTACCATACTAGCTCCACACTTCCATTCCGGCTTCTATATCTGAATCATGAGTCATATGAAATGTTAAAGCAAATGCTTATCTCCTCTTCTTACAGTTATCTCTGTCCAGGCATGCAAATGTTTCAGTGTTACATGTGTGAGACACGAGACATACAAATGAAGTGGCGTTATTTCCCAATGGCCCAGGTACAAAACAGGAGCCGACTAATTTGCCAAATGCCCATTGAGGGAAGCACAGTGTTCAAATAAAGACTCAGTCTTTTCCTCTAAAGGAAGCTTTTGTTCTGTGACTTGTTACCTGTATTATCCAGTCTGGCCCTCAGCACTTCTCGTAAAGAAAACCACTAACAGAGGACACCCATCCAGTCTGTGGGCAAGAGCACTCAATTTTCTGTGGATATGGTGCTGCTTCTGAACTTCTTGTTAATTTATTCTGAAGTGGTCTTAATTCAACTAAACAAGTGTATCGCATTCATGGAGCCTCCATTCTTCTTCAGTTCTTCAGTGCTTAGCTATGTCTGTTAAAAACAATAACAGATCTCCAGTGTAGAACTGTTCTCCCAATAAAATTAAAAGTAGAACTCAAAAATACAAGTGGATTTCCTTTGTAGAGCAAGCGAGGAATACATTCTTTTCTAAGTGTTAAATATTAACAAGAAACAGGGCGAAATAGAGGAAGCTGAGGAAGCATGCCTGTTTTGCATTACACCTGAAATGCAGGTGTAGAAAGATGTCTGGCTGTTCCGCAACTTAAATACAAAATGGTTATTGAAAGCGTTATACCACCTTGTCTGAACATAATGTGCTTTCTTTAATGTTTTGCTGTATTACGTAGTAACATTTTGCCTTCCTGTTTGTAGTATAAAAACCACGGTCTAATTGTCTCTAACATAACCTGCATAAGCACTACTTCTACTCAAAGGACAAATAACTAATTAAACAAAGAGATATGGTGCCTGACTGCTTTACATTTCGTTTGTTTATGTGTATGTAGTTTCAACTACACAATTATTATTAAATATGACATCTTCAGACCAAGAACATGTCATAGAATAATCACACCACAATTTTTCCTCTTCTCAGTCAGTGGTAGCCAAGGATGTAGAGTGGAAGCATAGAAATGACTCAAGCAGCAACCTCATGGCTACTGGGAAATCAAAGTAAGTGACTGGTGATCAGGATTGTGACACTCAAACTCTGGGAAGTTAGTTTTTCAGTTTTTAGTTGCAGTTATAGTATTCAGGCCTATGAAAGTAGTAGGTTACTGTTACAGGTACAATATTTAAAATAACTTCACTTTCTCAGTATGGAAAAGTAACTAGAATTGTTAGGTTATCACTTCAGAAAATAACATTGGAATGCCACAATTCACGGATGCATTAAAGTCAGTACAAAAGGCATCCAAGTACTGAACCTATACACCCATGTAACTAGAAAAGTAACTCAAATACTGTTATACTGAAACAAAAATCAAGTGATCTTATTCCTCATCACATTATAATTCTAGTGTAACTATGATTTACTTTGGTTATTATTAATTTCTATTGGGAAAAGAAATTAATTATAACTGTTACTTGTCGTTAGTTACTTCCAAGCTCTGATGACACCTATACTGGTTGCATTATCTTTTGTGAACCAGCAGTACCCAGCTTAAATATCACCCGGTGCCACTTCTACCATTCCTCACCCCCCACCCTGCCCTAGCTCCAATGGGTATCAAAGATGCACAACATTTTGAGGAAGGATGTGCCCCTGGATGAAAGATGTGTATCAGTGGCACCAAGAAAACCTGGCCTGTATTGCTCAGTGGATATGCTGTGGAAAATTTCTATCAGCCAGGGGTTGTTGAGTCACAAGCTCCTCTCCAGACTGTTGTTTGCCCTGAAGGCAGTACAACAGCACTGTGCCTGGATGGGACTTGTTGGTGCAAGTGAACAGCCAGAAAACCTTTTCCATACCCATCTAAAATTTGAGAGCAAGCCTCACATCCCAGAGTCAGTCACTCTTCTTTCTTAGGGCCCCCTCCTGGTAGCTTTTCTCTTGTCGAAAGATACAAAAACAAGTTGCCAAAACTACGAAATGTTATGTGAGTAGGAACTGTTCTTCAGGACAGTTTGTCTAGTAACGAGCAACTGTTGCTACAGCCACTGACTTGAATAATAAATCGGATGTGTGTTGGGGGTGGGGTGGGGGTTACGGCTTATTCTTTAAATGTAAGTGACCAATCTTCTCTACAGGAAAAGAATGTCCTTGGCTTTTTGTTGCTTGCAACGTGGTTTTATAAGCACGGAAAGTGCCTTTATGTGACTCTTCAAAACGAATCAACAGGAATTCTATTAATTGTCACAAAAAGCCTTTAGCAAAATCATTTCCTGTCTTCTGAGTCCAGCTGGAAATCTTGGGCGAGCCTGCTGCATAATCGCAAGGGCCCAGTCATTTTCTGTGAGACAGAGGAAGCTGTGCTCCTCACAAATCTGTCAGTCAGCCGTCACAGGCACCGAGCAAGCACCACCTATAACAGACGTTTTCTCTGATAAATGGGAGTAGTGCTCGATAATAAAGCAAGCATGTGTGCTAGCAAAAGCAGAGGCGCATTCCTATGATGAGAACATTCTCAAAAGCACCCAAAGCAATCTAATGCCCAGGCTGAGGAACATTGTCTGGCTG